ACATGCCTTGAATAGATCCTGTTTAGATTACTGTAAAATTTTTTATATGGGGCTGCCTTTGGAAATCATTCAGAAACTTCAGCCAGTTCAAAATGCTATGGCCAGGCTGTTGACTGGGGCTGGTTACAGGGAATCTATAGAACATATACCCCACCATTTGAAACAGCTTCACTGGCTATTGGTCTATTTCTGAGCAGAATCCAGAGTATTGTTTGTGACCATTAAAGCCTAAAAAGTCTTGGGTCCAGTCTATCTAAAAGACAGCCCAAATTTTAAGATCTTTTGGGGGAGGCTTTTTCTCAGTTCTATCACAGCCACATCTGTTGAGGATTTGGGAAAGAGTTTTCTCACTTTCACCTCCCAGGTTGTGGATCTCCATCCCATGGAAGGTTTGGTTGGCTCTCAAGCAAAGAACCTTTTATTTCAACAGGCCATTGGTACTTAAAAACATAATGAAAAGATAAAAATATAAAAGCACATCATACCACATTCAAAAGACCCTTCTCCCATAACAGTTTAAGTATTTTAAACTGTTTTAACGATGTGCTTCCTAAATGAATTGTTTAATTAATTTTTTTCACTTTTGTAAAATAAGATTTTATGTGGGCTTAAATTTGTATAAGTCGCTTTGAGTCCCTTGCAATGAGAAAGACCAGTATAAAATAAAATAAAAATCTGAAGTGCAGGTTGCAGTTTATATGAAACTTCTCTCTGATGTAGATTTTTAGACAATGTTGGTCTTCATTGTAATCTGTTGTATTCCCAAAGCTGTAGAAATCCCAAAAGTTTAAAAAGTTACACACTTATCAGTTTAATGTTGTTATTGTCACAGGAGGCTTTGCTAGGGGGAAAAACAATGCATGTGTAACGGGGCATGGAAGAAAGAATATTTTCTTTATTTGTTTATTTTATAAAATATTTCTATCCTGTCCTTTATCATGAGATCTCAGAGGTTAATTGATTTGATTAATTGATTTGGAAATCAATTAACCAAATTAAACCATTTTAAAATAATAAAATTAATTTAAATAGATTAAAAAGTAAAAACCAAAAACAAACAACTAACCTCTTGCCTTTGCTATTATCTTTTGTTTGCTCAGTCAAGGCTGCTATTTTTTATCTCTCGCCCAATCACAGTTCTACTAAAATTCTAAATTTCCAAGTTGATGCTTTTCCATCAGGGAATATTTTTTTTAAAAAAAATAATCAGATGGTTGTGTCCCTCTATTGCTTCTTATCTCTGTGGCTCAATGGCTAGCTGTAACACACACATAAAACTGAAAATCTGGGCTTGCTAATGGTGTAAATCAGGGGAAGACCTGGGCCGGTCTCCCGTAGCCCAGGTCTCAGCTGGGCCGAGGGGGGGGGGAATGGTGGCGGGCGCGCTCATGTGTGCACGCGCACCCTCCGCCGCCGTGCATGACCCCCCGCGCACGCAGCCGCCACGGCGCATGTCGCGCCCACCATTTTGGAAATCAAAATGGCAGTTGCGATGCGTTTGCGCATGCGCAAGACTACTGCGCATGCGCAAATGCGTCGCGCACCACCATTTTGATTTCCAAAATGGCGGTCGCGGTGACTGTGGCCGCAGAGCAGCAAAAACACACCGCAATGGCGGTGCACGGAGGCAGTGGCGACGGCAATCTTTGGCCTGGGCCGGTAAGTCGACGGACCGGGGCCTTAACCGGCCCCCCGGCCGTAGGTTGCCGGTCCCTGGTGTAAATAGTGGCAGGCCTACCTTACATATGGATAAAAATTAGCCAACCAGGTTATATAGCAACCATATTCATAAGCCTGGCGCCCATACACACTACACAATTGTAGTATTATTATTCAACTTTAACTGCTGCATTTCTGACCTTTGGAATCTGGGCTTTGTAGTCTGGTGAGACACTAGAGCATTCTGTTTGAGAACACTAGATGCCCCTCCCAAAACTGCAAATTCCATTAAAAGTGGAATAATAGCACTATAATTCTGTAGTGTGAATGGGATTCATGTGTAGTCCACTAAGATTTAAGGGTAGTGGCTAAAAGGATTAGGGTCTGCCATATGGCAGACTTATCTTATTGACTTTCAGCCTAAGCAGACAGGCGGCCGTGGGCTCCCCTGGGAAGGTGCGCTGCGGGACTGAGGCATCCCTAAAATAGCGCTCCTTTCATATGTCACCGAAAGTGCGCCACAAAAGGTTGCGGTGCACTTTCGGCGACTTTTCCGCCACAGCGTGTCCAGACGCTGTGGCGGGAGGTCCTCCTTGGAGCGCCGGCCATGCGGAGGGCCGGCGGCTCCGAGGACGACATCGGGAGGGGGAGGGGGTGCCGAGCGTGCGGCTGCCCCTCTCCTTCCCTGCGCCGAAAACGGTCCAATAAGCCATCTGCTCAGGCCCTTTCCTTCCCTGGGGAGGGTAGCCAAACATTTTTTTCCCCAGGAAGGGATTTTTTTTTAGAAGATTGGTGAAACCTTTTCTGCTGGTTTGTAAGAAGGTGATCTACTGGATGCTTTTCTTTACTAAATTTGTAAACCCCATCTCTTGATGGTTGTGTTTACCATGGATTGATACTAAAGGCTGATACTACTCTTTGGTGGTAGCTCCTGGGTTATGTCAGTAGTTGAAAATGTATTCCTGATGTTGCTCACTTTTAGTCAAAGTTTTGAGAAGTTCTTTTCTCCATCAGCACATTTTTGTTATTGGTGTATTGATTCGTAGTATCTTTTCAAACTGATTGCTGCTTTCACATCTTTCCTGTTGTTTTACTCTTATTTCATTTTTAAAAATATTTTGGAGCTGCCTTCAACATGTGCTGATATAGAAGTCTAGGATATCATCTGAAGAAGTAAATAAAATAAAATAAAACAAGCATGTGGTTTTTAAATTTGACATCTGAATTGGAATTCAGCACAACACACACACAGACCACACACAGCATGAAAGCTTATGAGCTTTCTCTCATTAAACTATATCATGTTCTTGAGGATTTCAGTTCAAAATTCTAATATCTGAGTAACATATTTGCCTTGATCCTGTATCGCTTTCCATCCTCTCAGCCTCTATGCTTCTTTTCCTCTCATTTTTTCTCCACACAACACTTTCCTGTCTTTTCAACACCCAGCCTTTTGCCTTCCTTTCCTCTGTGTGGATGTGGGACTCAGAAATCACATGGGAGAGGTATATATTTGAGTTTAGGATTATAGTTCTCCTGAGCAGAGTTCTTTTTAAATGACCAAAGTTTCATAATCTTGATCATGTTTGCTTTAACATTACATATGTTAAAACAATTTGGTTGCCAATACTCAACACTACACCACATTAGCTTGCTAAAAAATGGCTAGTGGGTTATTACTCCAGAGGAGGTCTTTGCATTGTGAATAATATAAATGTTGTATTCTCTGTTTTTAGTGTTTTCTAAGCAAGCAGTGCAAACATCTGCATGTTGGGCATGCTATCATAAATTACTCTATGTGTTTTGCAATGGTGAGGGGTTTTTTTTAATCTACGTACATTAAAAATGAGAGGCATACTCCTTTGAATTTGATAATTCCTACCAGCAAACAAATCTAAAACAATAGAGGAATCATACATCAAATTAGATCATCCTGCAGATTTGTAAGGAGCAGTTGGTGATGCTTTGGTCATCCAGTAGGAAATCTGGGGAAACAACAGTAAACTTCCATATCACTTAATAGAACTGGCTTACCAAGTGATTGTATAAATACTGTGTTACATGCCACTAAGGAAACAAAATACTTCTGACCATCCAGCATCCACACAATTGGAAACCCAGTGCAACCATGGTACCTAACATTGTTTTGGTTATGTTTATTTATATCCTACCTTTTCCCCAGACCAGGACTCAAGGTGGCTTTAAAAAAGTTAAAACATAAAAGTTCACATCAGGCAAAAGTGAAATATATAACTAAATCACCAATACAATTAAAAGCAGTTTAAAAATGACAATTACAAAGAAAATACAAGCAAGGGCCTTTACAGGCTGCCAGAAATAATGCAACCTGAGTCCACTTTAACTGTCATAGCTCAGTGCTTCGGACTCATGGGAACTGTAGTTTTTTTCTGAGACATTGAGCCTTCTCTGCCAGAGAGCTCTGTTGCCACGATAAACTACAGTTCCCATGATTCCCTAGCATAAGCCAGGACAGTTAAAGTGGACTCAGGTTGCATTATTTCTAGCAGTCTGTAAAGGCCCTAAGAGAGCTGATATATGAACAAATATGTTTATGTAGATGCATCCTTTCTAATAGAAATGTACAAAGGTGAGGGATGAAGCTGGTGGTTGTAGCAAAATCTGGAGCTGGATGGAAGATGAAGTCCCATTTCCCTATCCACATTTAATATTTGTGAAATGCATGGAGTGGGAGCTACAGAATGAGGGTAATGCTGCCTAGCTTATCTTGCCAACCTGTAATAATAAAATAAGGCTGTGTCTTGGCTCTGATGTAGTTAATTATATGAATGTTGTATTTTACTTTTTTAAAAAGCGGCATGAGTTGAGTTATCTCAATGTAAACACAGATACCTGAATTCTGTTGCTAGACCCAATATAGTGACTCACCATTCATTAGTTAAGTCAATGGGTCTACTGTATTTAGGCCAGGTGTTCCAGAGCATTTTCTATGGAAGATGGATACTTGATTTTAAGCACCAAGTAAATCTGCTCCCAAAAAGTCTATCCTGCTTCTTATACTCAGCATGTTCTGAGTTGGTTCTGAATACATGGTTTTGCAAGACAGACTGAAAGGACAAAATGTGGAAGGCAAAATCCAAAGATCATTCAGTATGAAATAGACCCATTGAAATTAAAGGGACTTTAACTAGTTGTGACCATTGCTGTCACTGTGTGTCTTCAAGTTGTTTCTGACTTATGGCAACCCCATGGTGAACCTATCATGGGGTTTTCTTGGCAAGATTTGTTCAGAGGAGGCTTGCCATTGCCTTCCCCTAAGGCTGGGAAAGTGTGTCTTGCCCAAGGTCACCCTGTGGGTTTCATGGCCGAGCAGGAAATTGAACCCTGGTCTCCAGAGTTGCAGTCCAACATTTAAACCACCACACCATGCTGGCTCTTGCCTGCAAAAATTACTCTATGAATACCCCAACCGGCATAGACTACAATTCCCAGAACCTTCCAGCTGGCATGGCCAGTGATCATACTGAATGAGGAATTTGGGACTTATGGTTCCTAAAGTAATTTTTCCAAATGTAAGTTATGATGAAGATGTATCATTCACTTTGTTAGGTCTGCCCTAAGTAGTATTTACATTTGTTTCATCCCATGGAAGAAAGCCTGGTTTAGCTAGCTCACGTCATGGTTCACCTGTCAGTCACAGACATTGGAAGCTGGTGGGTTTCATGCCAGTGAGATAATCCTAGCCCTCAAATATGTTCAGTACATTTGGGTACCTCATTTACAGCTCAGTCTAAATCCAGGAGTTGACATGGAGGCCATCAGATGTCAATAGTCACAGATTTATATCTGTTAATGTAGTGAATTTTGCTCTTTCCCCAAACTTTCACGCAAGTTGTTCTTGTTGTTGTGTGCCCTCAAGTTTTTTCTGACTAAGGAGACCTTAAGGTCATGGGGTTTTCTTAGCAAGACATATTCAATGTGGGCTTGCCTTTGCCTTTTTCTTAGGGTTAGAGTGTGTGAAAGCGTGTCATCCATTGGGTTTCCATGGCCGAACAGGGATTCAGATCCTGGTCACCAGAGTTACAGTGCTTTTTCAGTGATGTTACTTTTTTAAAAAGCATGACAATTTTATTTATTTGTTAGAAATTACCTTCTGAAGGGCAACAAAAGCCTACATCTTGTTGTTAAGGTGTCAAATTACTCTAGGCAGGGGTAGGAAGATTTTTTGGGATATTATAGGCCAACAGTCAATCTAAGCTATACATAACAGCCAACATCCATGGAAATTCTTACTCCCACACAATTAAAAGACAGAAACCCTGCCACCTCTTGCATCTGGCTATGCAAAATGTATTGGAGATTTATAAAAAGAAGTTTTATAATTCCTCTATCAGGTTTGATGAGGCCTAAAGGTACTCAGTTCCTTCTTGGAAGCTAGTAGGATCAACCTTGTTTAGTACTTGGATTGGAGACTGCCAAGGAATACCCAGGTGCTGTAGGATATATTTCAAAGGAAACAACTGTCAAAACCACCTCTGAGTATTCCTTTCCTTGCTGAGGAAACCTCATGAAATCCATAAGGTCACTATAAATCAACAGGCAACTTGAATGCACACACACACACACACACACACACACACACACACCAGGTTTAATCCATTCAGTATCATTGAAATAAATGCACTTTCAGAACTGAGAAGTTTGAGAACTGTGAGCTAAATAAAGCCAAATCTATCTTCACCCTGGCTTTTGTATAAATTAGTCCTTCTTGGTCTTTCAGCAGTATGAGAGAGAACATTTTCTGCTCCTACTGTGTTGTGCATTTGCCAGTTAGACATCGGCACAAGGCTTATTTATGTAGCGCTATCACTTCAGCAATAAAACCCAAAGGCAGCTGTACAGTCCCCCAGCCAGTATGTACAATCCATTTATACTCTTCCAACTTAAACACCTATCCCCTTTCTCCTCATGTTGTCATCCTGCTTTACAGCAGTAGGTTATTTTATTTTGTCATTTCCCCTTCCTAGTGTAAATATTTTAAAGACAAAGCAGCAAGGGCTCCATATGCCAAAAATGAACTTACATAAGCACTTCTATTTCTCCCTTGCAGCTGGTAGAAACACAGTGCCTGCATGCTGTTGTTCCTTCATCACAGATAAGACATAATACAATACCATAAAATGGTTTAAAGTAAACTTTCTACTTTGTAGTCTTGGAAAAGCTTATTTCTTCTCATGACACAGCTATGTTGTTTACCATTTTGAATGCCACATTGGAAATGTGGCCCATGGAAACATTTGTAAAGGCACAGTTCATCCAGTTACAGGTCATACATTTAGCAATCTTGTATGCTAAGGATAGACATTGCATGTAGGGGCAAGAGGCTATTTCTGTGTTCCTATGCCCTTTTCCTTTAAAAGCTCTTTGAAAGCTTTCCTTAGGGGCTAAGCAGACGGGCGGCCATGGGCCACCCTGGGAAGTTGCACCGCAGGACCGAGGCATCTCCACGCCTCGATCCTGCGGCACAGCTTCGCTGACCCTGAAAGAAGTGCTAAATGAACCCCCTAAGCAGACGCCTTAAAGGGCCGTCTTGGGGGGAAGGGAGGAGCAGCCACACGCTTGGTGCCCCAACCCCCTCCTGAGGTCATCCTCAGA